TCTCTCTCTCTCTCTCTCTCTCTCTCTCTCTCTCTCTCTTTCTCAGAGTTGGGAGGCAGAAAGATAGAGACATTAAACAGGCAGACAGAAAATTAGGGTGAATGAGAGGGAGAGAGACTATTAGAAGGCACACCTCAGTTACTTCTGCCAACAAGGTCTCATTTCCTATTATTTCCACCATCTTCAGCTGGGGCCAAGACGTGGTCTTTGGGGACTCTAAACTATAATGCTACCTGCCAAAATGTTCCTCTTTTAGCTACATATAATGACAGCAGTAATGATACATTTAAATATAGGAGTACATACTTTCTCACTAATATTAGACTTCATGAAAATTTTATGCCCTTTTCAAACTTTCATTATTTTCTGTACAATAAGAAAATTGCAAATTTGAAGTTAGCTTTATTGGAATCAAATTGTTTATATCTTAATTGTATTGATAAGTTTTTTTCCTCATTCAGACTGCAAACAATATTTAAAGAAGTCAAACAAATTTATGAGGGTTTTCTTTATAATGTTAGCATTAATTCACTAATCAAAATTTTGAAAGGAATGAACTATGCACATTCTGTTCAGTAGGCATGACTAATGTTCAATTATTAGCCTCTTGTGCTGTGCCAATTATCTAGTTATGGGTGATCATCCACTAATTTGACTTGTGGAGGAGTTTTGAATGTAGGAGGCCTGGGATGGATTGACAAATAAAAACTGAGCATTCTTTAAGTATTTTAAAAATTAAAATCAATATTTCTTGTTTGTACATTAAAGAATTCAACCTCAATAAAATATAGGAAATACTATTTTACTATAACATCTCAGAGAAATAAATTATTTCACTTTATATCTGAGTATGTATACATAGATACATATGTACTAATTATTAAAATTGGCAAGGAAGTATACTCTTTACAATTGTATAGGATGAGAGACTAGGGAGAGGAAAGAATATGAAAAATTTAACTGGACTAAAATTGTAAGGACACCATGACTTGTGCTGTTCAGGAGAGAGAAATATTTTTATATGTATATATTTAAAATATGCAAACATATAAAGATACACATACATTCATTTTTACAAACATTGGCACTGAGTTCTGAGGACAATGAAACTAAAATATCCTGTTAGAAGAGTCAATAAAAGAATTGCTTTAGTCATAATTCTGGACAAGCAGCCATATTTTAATCACACCTAATATATGTGAGGCTAGATTCTACATCCAAGGAAATCCCATCTACAGCTCACCTCTGATTTACAAAACTATTGCAAATTACTCCAAATTTCTGGATTATTCAGATTTCATTTTAAAATATTTAATGCTTACTTTGTATATTTTGTGGTGATATTTTGTTTGGGCTCTAACAAATAAAGCTTGCCTGGAGAGCAGAGTGAGGAGCTAGCCACTAGTTAACCATAGAAGCCAGGCAGTGGTGGAACACACCTTTAATCCCAGAATTTGGGATCTCATGCCTTTGATCCCAGTACTTGGGATGCACACACCTTTAATCCCAGCACTAGGGAGGAGGAAACAGGGAGTGATAAGGCTGGGCAGAGAGAGTAATATAAAGCAGGTGGAGACAGGAGTTCCACTCCTTTTCAGTCTGAGGATTCTTAGAGGTAAAAAGTTTCTCAGTGACTGGCTGTACTGCTTCTCTGATCTTTCAGCTTTCACTCTGATATCTGACTCTGGGTTTTTATTATTAAGACCAATTAGAATTCGTGCTATAGTATCTATGTGTGAGTGTGTGCAGGTGAGTGCAGAGCAATCAGAGGCTAGAAGAGAGCCTTGGATCCCCTGCAGCTTGAGTTACAGGTGGTTGTGAGCCATCTGACAGGAGTTATAGGAAACTCAGGACTTCTGTAAGAGTAGTACATGCTCTTAACCACTGAATTACCTCTCCAGACTCCAGGTTTCTTTTGTGGACTTGGTATTTGAACTAAAAAAGTAGAACACATTAGGTGAAAACTGTGCTAAAAATGAATTTCGTAAAAGATTATGGCAAAATGAATATGTCATAAAATAGGAAAGATAGCTAAAGCAATTTACAGAAATCAGAAGGCTATAAGTCAAATAAGTTTTCAGATAATGTGTAAGAGCCAGTTGTCTATAGTGAGAGGCAAATATCCAAAAGGCTACCATGCCGGAAGAAAGACCAGGACTCTCATCTCTGAATGTGTATCAAGTTTAGGACTTTTCGGTTTCTGTTCATGGCAAGGCCAGCATTCCTTCCTCTTCATTTCTCTTGCCTTATCATTTTAATTAAAACTTCTGATTCTTGAAACTAAGAATTGCTTGTGCATCTTCACGGAGAACATAAATGAGTAGCTACAAGAACGATTGTATATTAGCATTTACATTGCAATTCTTTTATTTATTTTGTGATCTCCAGCAGGTTGCTGAGTTATCAGTGGTTCAGTCATTTCATCCTTTCAAGCCACCTTTATTCAGCTCCAGTTTACCTAAAATAAAACAATAAAACATGCTTGTTTGGTTTGTATTATTAGGCTAGTGAAGAAAATTGTAAATACGTATTGTACCAATCACCACAATCAAGGATATTTTCAATTATTCTATTCTAATTCTATCTATCTATCTATCTATCTATCTATCTATCTATCTATCTATCTATCTATCTATCTATCTATCTATCTATCTTCTTACTGCCATAACGTATTAAATGATACTTTATGTCTTCAAGATAGGTAATATTGGTCTTTGTTTATGTTTATATATCTTTGTGTGTTTAGAGCCACATGTATTAGATTAGGTACAGAGATCAGAAGAGAGTATTGGGTACTCTGGAGGTAGCATTATGAGCAGTTGAGAGGCTGCTTGCTCCAGATGCTGGAAATCAAACTGAAGTCTTCTGTGAGAGCAGTTATATTCTTAACTACTGAGCCCTTCCTCCAGCCCCATTCACTATGATTTTGCTTTGCAAGATTGTTTGTCATTATGAGTCATATACACACACTCATGTGCACATGTGTATGCTTGTACATGGCACAAAAATGCAGCTCTGTTATAAGGATGGAATCCATAGGGATTTTTTTGTCAACTTGTGAAGAACTGGCATCTTAATTCTTCCAAACAGTTTCCATAGATTTGGTCTTGCTTGATTTCTCTTACTTAGTAATTTTCAGTTTTTAGTATACAAATAATGCACATTTTTGTTAATTTTGATCTATTTAATGTTTTGCCCAATTTTCAAATGAATAATAAATAGATTATAGGTATACATATCAATACACTGTTCGTATGTGCATATGCTTTTGTTATATCATGTTTTGTTTGTTTGTTTTGTTTTTATAGCAGGGTTTCTCTGTGTAACCCTGGCTGTCCTGAAACTCACTCTGTAGACTAGGTCAGCACTGATCTCACAGAAATTACTTGTAGTATTTTAAGGTCAATTAACTTAAGCATATTTTTGTATTATTTGATACTAAATTCATTCATTTATCCTGATATGCTTCTTAGTATATTTTGTGGTAGGAGTTACTGAAAAAAAAATTACTATATTATTTTTTCCTGCCTTAGCTATATTTGGTTCTTTTTTCTTGTCTTTGTAGGCTGGAAATCCTTTTGGTTCAAACCTGAATAAATAGGTTAAAAGTAAATTATGTTAATATATGAGTGTTGTGCTTTTTAAGTGTTTATAAGCATTTATTAAAATGATACTACAACTAACTTGTTAATGTGGAAAATCACAATCTTTTTTTTGTTCTATATTATCTCCAACTTGAATTCTCAAGGTGAAGCTTTCTTGGTTATACTATATTATATTCTTCATGTCTTGATAAATCCTTTTCTAATATTATCTTAAACATTTTGGGCCTTATCACACAAGACTTTTTTTCAATATCCTTCATTAGTTTTGTTATCAATATAATTTGGATACTATTAAGTTAGTTAAATATTGTTTCTTCTTAATTTATTTACTAAAATAATGTGGGTGTTTTGTTCATAATGACGTCTTGTAATCTTTGGATGCTAAATTGATAGAATCATTTACCTAGGTCTGAAGTATTTTAAACTATTTTTGAGAAGGTATTTAGCTACAATAGAAATCTGACTAGTTTTGGCTTGTGTGTAACTCCATTTTTCAATTCATCTCATGAACTGAGAATGAAAAATACACTTCTTTTAAGTTTTTGCGGTAATCATGTATATTCATACCTTAATTTTTAAAACAGGATTTGGCAGTGAGTTAGCATATGCATAGAAAAACAATATCTATTAAAATGTGATCATTATAATTATAAGGGTAAGATCAAACCAAGGTTGATTTTCTGTTCCACTTAAATCTCAAGGTCAAGAAACAAACAATTTACTATTTAATCTTCATATTTATAATTTTTAAAAGTAGATATCATACCACTGTAAGTTTCAGAGATACCTTGGATATGTGGAAAAGGAATTATTATATGTCTAAATATTTAGAACAATGAATTTCTCATTGAGTAACAGAAACACTTCTTCAAGTAATTTGAACGGTGATATAGCATATAGTGTATATAAAACTATAGTCCCAGGGCTAAGGTTGGCTGCAGAGTTGACTAATCCAACAGTAGTTTATTTCAATCGCTCAGTTTCTGTCTTTTTTCATAAAAATTTTAAAACTGTGTTTCTATGTATACATGTTCATTATGTGAGGATGTGTGTGTGTGTGTGTGTGTGTGTGTGTGTGTGTGTGTGCAGGTACAAATGTGTGTTTGTGCAAATGAAGGCTACTCTAGCTAGCCACCTTCCTCTGGAGAATCCTTGATTCCCACCTCCCCTGTTCTGGGATTGTAGATCAACACACATGGCCAGCATTTATATGGGTTCAGGGATCTGAACTCCAGTCCTCACATGTTTTGGAATATTTGTTTCACTATGCAAAAATGTGTTATTTGTTTATGTTGTAGAATATTTGTTTAGCTATGTAAAGATGTGTTGCATTTGTTCAATTATGAAAAGAGGTGTTGCTGTTTTACCTTGCCTGCCTAAGGCATCTGATTGGGCTAACAAAATACTGAGCAGCCAATAGTGAGGGAAAGCACCATGGCAAAATGTAGATGAATAGAAACAGGTTAAATTAAGTTCAAAGAGCTAGTGTGACAAGCCTAAGCTAAATCTGAGCATTCATAATTGATGACAAATCTCCATGTTGATATTTGGGAGCTGGTTGGCAGCCCAAAGAAAATTCTAACCACACTCACACTTGCATGGCAGTCACTTTCACCCACCGAAACATTTCCCCAGTTCTCTTTTCTCTAAATCTTTAATTGTTTTAAAATTGGGCTGTAAATCAATTCTTCATATTGAATAATTAATTACATTTCCTTTCAGTTCAACTGGGCCAGATTTGAGGGTAATAACTTCCACCAAGTTACATCTGTGGCCTTCTGTTCTTAACCAGTTACTTGCAAGCATAATATATGTACTATGAGTGACTTAGAACAAGCAAGCTCTCCTGGTAAAGATGGGATCAATTCAGTAAATTACATTGAAATTAATTGATGAAATAGAATTGGAGTGATGGTTGCAATGCTTATGATGGCAAGGCATTATTTTTTCCCATTTCCACTGCTTTGTTCTTCCTTAGAGTCCTACATAATTTATCTATCTACATGGTCATTTTTCAGCAAACTTTTTGAGTAGAGTCAATTTTTGTGGAAGGCAATGCCAGGCTCCATTTCCAGGGTGTAACTTTTCAGAGGGAGCATAGTCTCACTGTTCCTTCTCTCTTGATTTTGGATATGGTTTTGATGACTATATTTTTGGTTGTGAGCCTAGTCTTTAACGGCTGAGCCATCTCTCCAGCCCATTTCCTCAAATTTTTTTCAGAGCTGAGGACCGAACCCAGGGCCTTGCACTTGCTAGGCAAGCGCTCTACCACTGAGCTAAATCCCCAACCCCTAACCCTAACTCTAACCCTAACTCTGATGACTATAGCTCAAAGAACCATCTGGGACCACACTGAGAATGATGAAAAGAACAGTCATCCTCATCCTTGCTCCTTGCTCCTATCTGCTCTGGCTTATTTAGCTCCATTTACCATTTTCATGAGCGATGGGAACTTTATATTTTATTCTAGCAACCACTTATTTCTAGTGTTGAGGATTCACAGATATGTCTAACCCTAGATTGGGGTAAATTTATTTTCAGAAACTAATGTCTGAGATATACTGTTGTAGTTTTTAAGTATCGCTCTAACTGTGACTAAGAGAGGTATGTGCTCCAAATCTCTGTATCATCAATTTGATAACTTTGTGTAACTTTTTAAAAACCAAGCCAAACCAAACCAAACAAACAAACAAACTTAAAACAACAACAGCAACAACAAAAACAAAAACAACCCACTAATTTTCCTGCAGGCTATGTGCTAAATCTTTTCTAAATCCGGAATACATATTAGCCTATGTGTATTTATATCTCAGCACCTGCAAAAGACACAATGAAACATGAGTTGTATGCCTAAGGTCACTCACAGTCACCAAACTCGAAGGAGAGCTATGGGAAGTCAGCAAAACCATTTATTCCTTCTGTCCGTGCTTTTGCGTGGATGCTTTTTCAGACCCATTCATCAATTTCACTTCAGTTTATCTCAGTTTCTATTTTGAGCACCTATGAGATAGTGATGCTTTTTTGTTTGTTTTCGTCTCCACAGACAACTCCTCCCCCCCCCCATCCCGCCCCCGCCCGATACTCTCTTCAGGCAGTCCCTTGAGAATACTCAGACTATAGAAATCCATCTTCCACTACCATGGACACGTTTATTTGGGCCTAAGATAGCTGATCTTTGTTTTCTAAAGTTAAAAAAAAATCCGGTTTCTTTGGCTATTAGAGACTTGGTAGATTCTCTAAGTTGAAGGTTACTAGAAAACTATCTAAAATACTTTTGTTGAAGCTCTCCGCACAGTTAATGAAAAGAACTTCCACCCACGGAAAACATCGTCCCACGGTCCCCTAGAGGAGCCCAAACTTTATGATGCACACTCCTACCCTACGAGGAAGAGCAGGCAGATTGCTATCCACCTTACCCTCTCCCTGTTCTCACTAGCCGGCTCCTGCCTGCTGGGTTGCAGAACAGTGTATCACTGCGGTGCTTTTCCAGCGAGTAATGCGCTGCAATGGTGTGGGGCTTTGTCTTTATTCACAACACATTCATGTGCCTCAGCAGGGGGGAAACTGCACAGTTGCCTGCCAGCCTGTCCTCTTTGACAGACTGCCTGATGAAGAAACCCGAATGATAGAGAGAGAGAGAGAGAGAGAGAGAGAGAGAGAGAGAGAGAGAGAGAGAGAGAGAGAGAGAGAGAGAGAACATAAAAGAGGAGGGAGGGGGAGGATGCTCTCCGCACACTCATATATTAGGTCTCGGTGCAAAGGCGGAAGGCTGCAGAAGCCGCAGCAGCAGGGTTTCGGGCACAGATTCTAACTAGTGCGTGTGACCGCGGTGGTCAGGAGGACTTTGAAGAGG